GGTTTTCAGGGCTGCAAGTGCTTTAGTGCTCTCTCAATGACTTTTTTAAGCCCTTTGTGCACCCTTTTTGTATATATCCAATCATGCTGTCTTTTTTAAAGGGGAACTCCACCAAGTTCCACACATCAAAGTCTGTTTAGCAAGCCTTAATTCACTCACTGTTTTATCTTTACTTTCAGACTCTGAAGGATGTTTGCTCCTTGCTGCCACAGACTCATCTTCCCACTGTGGTGGTCAGTGCTGTGTCTATGGTGTTTCTAATTGCAGCCAAGGAACTCAACTCCTTCCTCAGTCCAAAGCTGCCAGTTCCTGTCCCAGTGGAGCTCATCACAGTCAGTTGAAACGAGGACAAACTCTCTGGGCTCGCTTCATGTTATCACCTCTGTGCTCTGTGCTGATGCTGATGTTGCAGCACTGAAAAAAAAAACAAAAAGACACAGACACAGACACAGTAGAACCAAGCAGCTGAATCAGCAGTAGTGCCAGGGTGTCTGCATTTGTGCAGTTCACAGCAAAAACTGAGCTATTTGTGGTTAATACTTAAGTCCACATCTACAATATGATTTACCAGATAATTAATGATTGAAGGTTTGAAACGTGTTTGTGAATTTTTTTCTGTATGTTTGTGTTTATGGCCTGTATGTTGTCTGTGATTGCTGTAGATTGTGGCAGTAACACTGATATCAAACTATGCCCACCTGAACAGAAACTACACTATTTCAGTTGTTGGAGAAATTCCTTGTGGGTAAGCATTTGGATTGAAGTTATACTAGTGTTCATTATATATTAGTCATATTGTTGTTTGGTACTAACTGATCCTATCCTCTGCCTGTGCACCAGTTTAAGTCCCCCCAGTGTTCCAGACATGAGCATTTTTGGGGAAGTTATCGGTGATGCTTTTGCACTGGCTATTGTTGGATATGCTATATCTATTTCACTTGGAAAAACATTTGCACTGAAACATGGATACAAGGTGGACAGTAACCAGGTGAGCATCAAATATCTCATGAATTCTGCTAATACCATTAACATATAATCATTTTCATAGTTTGTATTTTTTCTTTGTACTCCTGCTAATTCTGGTGTCTCTGTCCTCACACTGCTGCAGGAGCTGGTGGCATTGGGTCTCAGTAATGTAGTGGGAGGCTTCTTTCAGTGCTACTCTGTCTGCCCCTCCATGTCTCGAAGTCTCGTCCAAGAGACCACTGGAGGGAAAACACAAGTGAGTGAACAACAGAAGTGACAACATTACAAATAGAGACAGTTAAGGAGTCGGCATGACCTCTCAATCCAAAGTCATTTTTTACAATGTAAATATGCAATATGCAATAGTTGTACTGTAAATATGCATAATATGAATAAGACATAGTTAATGACAACTGAGGTGGGGTAAAAAGGAAATGATGTTTAACTACAAATGAAATGACACAACAAGCTGGCCTATGTGGAAATTCAAAACCTGATGGTACCAACACATGAACTGCAGTTTTTGTCTTTTTAGCAATTTACCAAATGTGTTTATTATCTGTCTAAACAACATACCACATCAATTACTAAAAAGCAGACCTAATAGTTGTTAGGCTACCACTAAATGTTGGAAATATGCGCTGTCATATAATCCATCTCTGCTAAACACAAATAAAACAACTTTTACGCTACTCTTGCAGATGGCTGGAGTGGCCTCAGCTCTAATTGTGTTGGTGACCATACTGAAACTTGGACCACTGTTCCAGGAGCTGCCAAAGGTTCTGATAACTGTACACTGATGTACAAAGTTTGAACATGTTTGTGACACATGATAGATTTTGTGTAATCTGTAATGTGATGATTTGTTTGTTTTCTGGGTGCACAGTGCATCATGTTAAAATGTGGGTGCTCTTGTTTTAGGCTGTCCTCGCAGTGATTGTCTTTGTAAATCTGAAGGGCATGTTCAAGCAGTATGCTGACGTTGTAACGCTGTGGAGGCGCAACAAGATTGATCTGGTGAGAGGATGAATTATGTTTATTATTATTATAAATTATGACTTGTGGTAATTATGTAATTTAAAAAATACCCTTAAAAGCAACGACTACAAGAGAATCTACTGATGTGTTCAGGGTCATTATTCTTCTTTCCTTATCATTGTTCTGCTAAACAATGAGTGATGTCACGCTGAGTCCCCCAGGTGGTGTGGTTGGTCACTTGGGTGTCAACACTGCTCCTCAATCTGGATCTGGGTCTGGCAGCATCGATCACATTTGCTCTGCTGACTGTTATTTTCAGGACTCAGATGTAAGACTCATATGCATCTAAGAATATTTTTCATTGCAGTATAAGTAACATCAGTAACTGATGTTATGCTGCCAGATCTGCCAGATAAGACAAAATACTGTACACAAACACATCATGAGACTTTGTGTGTTTTTTAATTCAATTCTTAGGCCAACATACTCTGTGCTGGGAAATGTTCCAGGCACAGAACTGTACTTGGATATAGAGACACACAGAGAGGTAAAACCAGAAAAATCATAAATGAAACATTTTTCACACTGACTGCAACAAAAGTTAAGGATGTTTCTCTATTTGGCAGGCGAAAGAGATCGCAGGTGTTACTATATTCCGTTCCTCTGCTACAGTATATTTTGCCAATGCTGAGCTTTACCTTGAGGCCCTGAAAGAAAAGGTTTGTCCTCTTTCTTAATAATACTAATAAATCTATTCTAAGGCTGCAGCTAGTGATTGTTTTCATTGTCGGGTAGTCTGACAATTATTTTTTTGATTTATGAATGAATAATTTAGTGTATAAAATATGAGAACATAGTAAAAAAAATACCAATTATAATTTCCTGAAAGTCAAAAGTGGTGAATTCAAACAAAATGCTTCACATTTTTGCAGGATGAATGACTGCAATGGTTTAATCAATTATCAAAATAGCTGTATTCGTCAGTTGATGAATAAATTGACTGACTATTTGTTTCAGCTCTTATCTGTTCTCAGTTTAAAGCATAAAAGTGATTCTTCGGAAAAAAAGGGACTATTTCTTGTTCTTGTCTCTTTTGTTACATTTTTATATAATGGTGATGTTTTGCTTTTCTTCAGAGTGGGCTCGACATCAGTAAAATGATTATCTACAAGAGGAGGCAGGAGGCCAAACAGAAACGTAGAGAAAGGACAGCTGAGAGACGAGCCAAGAGGCAGGCCAAGAGAGAGGTAATATGCAGCAAATGTTTAACATCACTGCCGTAACATAAATTACTTGAAGAAACTAACACATTTGAAGGTCTGTAGTGGCTTTTTTTTTTTTTTTTTTGGCTGTTTGACCCTTTATTCACCTCTTCAAAACGTGATGAGAAAATTAGAACAAAAATCTTCCTTGTGGGTCTGATTGGCTAATCTCTACAAAGTCTACAAACCACTTTACAGTAGATATCTTCTTTTGCTGATTACTCCTCAGAGACGAGCACAGAGGGCAGCTAAACAGCAGCAGCAGGTGTTCTCTGTGGAGGAAGAGGCCGGCTGGAGGGACACATGCATGGACGGGAATGTTACGGACAATGAAGAACAAGTCTGGACAGAGAGAGAGAACGGGACAGTGTTTGTCATTCCAACCTCTCCCCGAGCGCCAGACGGCCACTGTAGATGGGAATACCTGAAAGGAGGAGATCCAGACTGCACAAGTGTAGGGTGGATGTCTGAGCTGCTGCAGGACGGAGACACCACCACTCTGGGCTCCAGCAGTGAGGACACACTGAGTCGTGACCTGGAGCGGGTCTCTCTGGGTTCTCTGGGCAAGTGGACCTGGGATATTCACTCCATCATTCTTGACCTCTCCACAGCTAACTTCATTGACACAGTGGCTATCAAGGCTATGAAAAATGTAAGTACTAAAGGGACAGATGTCCTTTAAACAAAGGGTAAGACATGACTGAAAATCTTAAGTGTCACTAGATTTCCCCTTGTTTTGAAAGCTTAGAGGAGGATCCTTATATACTATACATCCAGGTGTCAAATCCCTTTAACAAATAATGTAAATGTAATTTGAGAAGCATTAGCAATGTATACAGGTTGTCTTGGTAGTTTTATAGGGGGAGCTTAAGAGATAACCCTGATGATTTAGAGTGAGATAGGTTACTGGGTTGATTAGACTTAACATCACTTGATGGGGAAGATATGTGAAAACCGATTTTTTAAAGATTGGTGCACTAGTGACTTCAGATGATGATGAGGAGAAATACTCATTATTTATTACATTGACAGATTTTCCAGGACTTCAGTGAGATTGATGTGGATATCTACATGGCTGGTTGTCAGGGTAAGTGAAAACCTTCCCACTTCCTTAAGGCTGTAATTTACGTCAAGGTTTTATTATCTTTGTAATGTCTCCACGAGTGAACTGTTTGCTCTTCAGCCTCTGTGGTGGAGCAGTTGGAGCTTGGTGACTTCTTCAACGAGTCGATAACAAAGAGACAGCTTTTTGCCTCCGTTCACGATGCTGTGCTCTACTGTCTGAACCACCGTGGAGCAACATCATTCCCAAGATGCGAGTCATCAGTGGTGAGTATGATCAGGTGACACTTTGTTTGAACTGTCCATAAGCTGATACTCAACTGTCAATTCACTAAAGTCAGACAAAGTGTAAATTGCCTGATCCCTGTATGCACACTTCATAACACGTAAGTTAGTTAATAGCTGATTGTCAGCGTTCAACAATCCAAACATATTAAAGGACCCGTTAAGAGCATTTGATCATGTCAATTTAATTAAATGCCTTTCTAAAATCTGGTCTGATTTCAGGTCATGCACGGCAGCACAAAACTTTAAAGACTTAAGCCAAACAGGACATCCAGCACAGAGGATGGAAAAACATCTACTGGAGGAAATATCACAAGCTGAGAACTTGTATTTGTAAATCAATAGATGCTAGCACTGAGTAAAGTGTAAAACAAATCATTTACATTGATATTTATGCATGTTATCTTTAAGGTATGTAAAAGAAGACTAATGCTGAATTCAGATACATGAGCTTAATTTAACTTTATTCCATGTGGGAGAGTGTTACAGTGCATTTTTAAAGAAAAAAAGAATTAATAAAATAAATAATAAATGAATACAGTGAAACATCCAAACAACTGTGCATTTTAATCTAGGACAATCTGGCAGAAAATAATGATGAATTCAAGGAACAAAGACAAGGCAACATGCATCACACTGAGAGTGTGTGTCTTTTTTGGTAATGGCAGCAATAACAAGGTAGGACATTGAAATGTTTACAGTAGCCATTTCAATTTTCAAGTGCAATTTTTGCTCATAGCAACAGCAAAACCTGTGAAGCTAACACATGCAAAGGAATGTTTTTTTTTTGTCTCAACTCCTTGTATGAGTTTCTAGTGCAACATTCCTAAAATGGGAAATTATAATTGATTAAAAAATAACAGGATAACAATATCCGAGCAACCTTTTACCAAAAGCGTCTCTTTACAGTTGCATAATCCCACTGTGACCTCGTTCCCTGAATAAATCTTGTCTCTACATACTGGTCACAGAGGATGTTACCAAAAACATTGTGCACAGGACTGAGGAAGGCTAGGTAGATTTTTTTTTTTATTTGGTTTATGAGCTACAAGTCTTGATGTATGTCCGGACTCTGTATGTCAGGGTTCAGAGTCAGACCTTCATCGTCCTCCTCCTCCGGCTGCTGTGACACCAGCTGCTGGTAGCGAGCTTGCCTCTGGTAATCCGGATCAATGTTTATCCATTTATTGGCGACCCACTTAGTGCCATGGGTGACCACACAGCCTCCATGCAGAGCGTATTCGTCCTGCTCCCCCACCCAACCTATTGAGGAGGGGGGGACGACTCATTTAACTTCAGTTACTAACATCCTTTACATGATTTCTGTTTTTAGAAGGACTCGCACAGGCTATCAAACACACTGCTTCAACTAGGTGGTCAAGATGATTTACTTGAATAGTTCTGCTTTCCCAATTTACAAGTATAGATTACAAGTAACTATTAGTTTACATTAGCCACAAATCAACCTTAAATACAAATTCTTTATCTACTAATCTTTAACAACACCAATATTAGCTTGAACCACAACTTTTTGACAACATTTTGTATGTCGACTTTTGCTCTGTGCCTGAATTATGCCTCCAAAACATGAAAACTGGATTTTAGATGACAAGATTAATTGAACTGAAATAAAAAAAAATTAAAAGAAAATGCTATAAAATGCTAAAATACTGCTAGATGTAGTTTCTTTTATTTTTCTTTACAGTTCATTACTGTGATAGATTTGCATTTTGAATATTGATAAAAAAATTATATGTAAAGTGGAAATTGCAGTTACAATTTAAATGAATAGTTTGACATGTTAAATAACTCTATTCGCTTCCAGACAGAGTTAGATGAGTTAGTTGTCTGTGTCAGAAAATATGAAGTGTCATCAACATGACTGTGCAGTGTAGACACAAAATGACAATGACATGATTGCAACAAACAGGTTTGACATGTTAATTAGTGATCTTTACATGTGCTGATAGGAGGATTTTGTTAGTTGTAGTTTTAATACTAAACTAAGCTAACCAGCTGCTGGCTATATCTTCATATTTATCATAATGACATGAGAGTGGTATCAATAAAAATTAAAAATGTACTTTTTAATCAAATTATCAAATTTATCAAGTTGCCTATTTGCAGTGTTATTGCAGGATTATTATTAGAAATTGTGCCAGAATTTTTCATAGGAATCCTACCTTGTCCATCAGAGAGGTAGTTGTACCAGAAAACAGCCGTCCCTTTGGTAGGCTTCACCCTCAGGTTACTCTTGTCACAGTTCCTTCTGGTGTCCAAGAGATCCACGTCGTTCTGTATGAGAGACTAAAACACACACTCAAACTCAGCGACACAGTTTGCTTAACGTCAGGCCCATGCACGCACTGACAAACAAGTGAGCTAACACAGATGTGAAAGACATGCACAGTATGTACACAAATACTTTTGCAGGGCTCCCCGAACACATTTCCAGACCCATACACAATTACGCACCACTTCATCATAGGTCCTGTTGTCTGCCACAGGGAATGCGGTCTCCCCGCCCCCCTCAACAGAGTTCAGGTAGAAGAGAACTGTGATGTACCTAAGTGTGCAACACAGATTTAAATTGACACACACATGTATGGTGCAAACAAACCCTACACAAACACACACATACAAACACTTTGCAAACAAGTGGCAAGCACACTCATTTTTTTTTCCATATTGACAATGTAGAGTCACACAAACTAACATGCCATCAGTCACAATGGAGTGTCAATGCACAGTTTAGTAATCACACTGGACAGATGAATTCACAGATTTATTTCTTATTGGAAAAAGTCAACACTGTGCACCTCAGTGACCTCACCTGCAAGACGTCTCAAAAGGGGTGGAGGTGTTAGCCGCAAGGCGTGTGTGTGTGCAGGCAGTTTCAGGATAGACAGGGCCGCTGTCATGGTGGGCATGGTAGTGCCCTCCTTCCTCATAGCGAACCACCTGCAGCGGCTCACTGAGGTCCACTAATGTGGGTGGGAGCCGGGTGAGGCGAGTCACTCTTTGTTAGAGGAAGGTAAAGGAGAAGATCAAAAAGATTGGACAGTCTGGGACAAATATTTCTGAACCACTGTCAGTTGTCATTCTGAAATTACCAGATTTGATTTGTGAGATAAACATACCTTATACTTATAATTCATAGCGAGGCAAGAGACGGCAGAACCACAGAAATAAAACAACACAAGGAATCCTTAGTAACGCTGTGACTTCCTAACCTCGCCTTGATGTCTTGGAGGACCCGGTGTGCTCCTTTGCCCTGGTAGAGCCAGGTGTGTCTGCTGTTCCTCACCAGCTGACTCCTTTTCACCCCTCGCTGAAGCAGGAAGCGCTGAAAGGCATCATTGCTCAGAAGCCTGAACTCTTCCAGACTCAACAAACCTGTCCAGAATGAGACTGTACATAAATTTTGACGCCTTGCAAAAGCTTTGGATAATCATCAAAACCTACATTAATGGCTCAATTAAAACTATAATATAAAATACACTTTAATTATCAAATGCCACACTTGAATCCTTCCCTTGAACATCACATTCATATCCATGAACTTTGTTTATATTTTGTGTCCATATATTGTACACACATCACTGAAAATGCACCTGCAGTATTATCATAGAAATGAAATGCAATTATTCTCTATATCAGTTAAAATTTCAATCATATTAAAACTTAATGATCCCTATAATAATAATAATAATAACAATAATAATAATAATAATAATATTAATAATAACGCCTATGTTTTGTAGCCCTAGTAGATGAATTAACGTATTTAGTTTTTGCTGTACTTTAAAACAAAAAATATATAATAACAGACTGAAAATAGAGATTTTTTAGAAAAGGGTAACATTTTAAATGCAGTGTATAAATGATAGGATAATTGGATAGGATAATAATAGTATAACTGTGAATAAAGTAGCCTAAATATTGCATATTTGACTACTGCAACTTTAATAATATGATCTCAAGACAGTAGGTATATGCAAATAGATACATTTCTGTGACACTAATGAAAACTGGTTAAAAGTGCAAAGTGAACAGTCTTGGTTAAAACCTAAAGTGACGAATTAAGTTGATGTCTTACCATTACCATCCTTGTCAGCTTTGAGCCCAGCGTAGATTTCTCGCAGGTTCTCCGGTGTGAGCCAGATGCCGTCCCTCACTCGAGAATGAGTCAGTATCTGTTGGAGGTACGGTAGCAAAGACAGGATAAGTTAACAAACTCTGAACCAAGAAACCTTTGCATGTCACACACTTCAGTATGTTCTCACAATCCACAAACTGACATACACCTCGTGCAGCTGCAATTGTCCATCCTGGTTGATATCAAGAAGGTTGAAGATCTCCTCTGGGCTGAGGTTGAGCTCCTTGGCCAGCTCTTCCTGACCATCTTGCACCATTAACTGACTTTCCATTAGACCCTTTAGCTGTGCCAGCTGCATCACAACACGGCACTCATCCGCCGACAGAAACCCAGGGATCTCTGCGGAAATAAACACAGAGACAATCGGAGATAAAGCTACAGAGGAAACTCTCGTGGGTCAACAGCTTCACTTGATTGCAGCATTTTCTGTGTTGCATGCTTCACGTTCTCTGATTTGTGATCCTGTTGTATTATATTGTACCAATGTTACATTTTGGCTCACATTGGATCACAATGCTACGCATTGGCTCTAGATTTATGCAGACTAAAGCTGAAATGAACTAACAGCAGCTATTTCCACTTGGAGGATTTTCTGCTTTACTGTGTCTCACAGTGTATTACATATAAATTTTTAACTATTTCCTGTTCCTGGGGTTTAGTAGAGAAAAAATAATCAACAGATTAATCAACAATAGCTCTTGACTGTAGCCCTAATTAATCATTTCATCAGTGGCAACTTCTGTAGACCCACTGAAGCCCTTTGAATACACTATCGATTTTTCCACTTCGAAAATGTTTGCACAGCATCATTACTCCAGTACAACTAATCTAAGTGATGACTGCAAACTGTATGTTGATGCATGGCTGGTTGTTTTTTTTTAGGTACAGATGTATTTCTGCTCTTTAAGCCCTTAATTGGATCAGAAGTACAGAGCTGAGGGAGTAGTTGCCTCAGGACTTCTTGTTCTATTTCCTCTAACTTACATTAATTTTAGCATACATGTGTCAGGCTTTGTTTGGGGGATGGTCGTGCTGAAGAGAGAAAGTATTTGGTGAATGTGACATATGTTTGCTTTCCCCAAATGAAGAAACCTGTTTGGCCACTAGAGGCTCATACGGGTGTGCTGCACATTTGTTTTGGCACACGGGTGTTTTGGCTCTTACCAAACAGCAGAGGTTTCAGACTCAGAGTCCGCATTTCATGCACTTTGCCTGGTACCAGTGACACCCTCTGGACATGTCCCACCTGGTAGAGTAATCAGAGAGGTGATGGTGTGGCGCGTGAGAGACAGATAGAAGTAGTAAATGAAAGAATAGGGGTGATGCATCGTCATATTACTCACCCTTATTCCCTCGATTCTTGTGAGGGAAACATCACGCATGAACTCGGTTTTCGATGGCGGACGTCGCGACTCGGGGCGCTGGTGGTTACTGCTGGGAGCATCACGACTCTGGCTCGCATCCTCCTGCCCGCTGCTGTAGTGCACGTAAAACAGCAGTGCTATAACATTAATGATGTAAACGTGAAAAAACACCATTACTACCACGAAGTAGGAGCGGGAACACACGCTGCTCTTGTGGCAAGAGAGGCGCTCGCACGGCGGCTGGAGCGGCAAGGTCGCGCTCCCGGACGGAGTAGTGTCCTCAGCATCTGGGGTTTCCTGGTTGTCAGTCATTTTCCTGAGAGACTCAAGAAGGAGCTGATACTCCCTCAGCAGCAAAGTCCATCTGATTAATCAAGCAATAAGATGAACGTTTGCTGGATGCTCAGAGGGGGCAGATGTGTTGACTGACAGATGTCCAGTTTGATTCAAAAAAGAGAAAATCCTTAAAGAGCGATCAGGCCAGTTTCTCTCCTGCAGAAATGGCACTGTAGTCGTAGCGCATTGAAAAAAGACCACTGATGGTTCATAGTGAAACTGTCCTCGTTTAAGCTAAGAAGTCCGCTATGATCGCAACTGTGTGATTCTCCTTTCACCCACAGACAACAGCGCTGCAGCCTCTGACAGTCTTGTTTACACTGCAGCAGCAGCACCAGTCAGCAGCGGCAGTAAAGCGCACTGCGCATCCAGAAATCACAGCGGAACTCCTCTCAGAGAGAAAACTGGCCCAAAAACCTGACCAAGTGTGGACTAAGTAAAATAATCATCCTTTAAAATAAGCGATGCATCTTTGAACATGACAAAACATCGCTAATCCTTGCGGTAAATCCGTCTATTTAAAACGCCATTGCAGGAGCTTCCCTGTTGACAGCAACAATCTGACAGCTGTGCAATGCTGACCTCTGGTGACCTAAACCAATAACACATCCCTGGCTTAACACTAAACAGTGCATCCTCTCTCTTTCTACTCCAGGTTGTGCTATACAGTCTATTGAATAAATGCAAATAATAATAAAAAAAAAACCCATACATGCAAAAACAAATAAATAACTCGATTTCTTCAAGTGTTACATGTATTTGACCAGCTCTGCTTCAGCATGTTGGTGGTTTATAGTCTGCTTTCTGTGAGAGCAGGATATTACATACTATTATTTGCCTATTATGCCTTCTGCTCATGGTCTGTCCTGCTTTTAACAGCAACGCTGCCACTACAGCCACCACAACATTATACTATTCAAAGTATTATCAACTCTGTGTTTTTCTACCCTAAAATATTTATAGACACATTCTCCTCCTTCTTCGGTTATTGACAGGACATGGCATTACTATAATTAGATTTTATTGTACAAACAAACAAACAAACAAACAAACAAACAAACAAACAAATGAATGAATAAATAAATTATTTAAAACTTGCACTTGAACAATGTGCTGGCTCCTGCTGCCTCTTTGGCTTCTCTGTGTTAGAGATGATAAGAGGAGGACTGATTGTCAGAAGATAAGCACAGGCTGTTTATAAATTGCCATAGTGATACAACTTTAACTTTATCAATCTTGATTGAAAACATTCTTTTACTACAGAGCCCCCAAATCATGGGCTTCAATGACTCACTTACCACCTCAGCTGCCATTCCAATGGTATCCTCCACCTTTGCCGCTGTCATATTTTAAAATATTTTCTGACATAAAACATAAAACAAAATATAGAATTTAAATTTTATTAATTAAAATCAATTAAAATTGCAAATTGAACACTGGCCCACATGTCTCAACCAAAAAGTTTTATGAAACTTTTAACCAAACAATAGCCTATTTATGGTGTTGAGATATCTTTTGTTGGTAATATTAAATTAAACATAATATTACTTTTATTTCTCTTTCCATAGACTTCTTTGGTATAATAAACTTCAAAGTCTTTATTATCTCTGATTTTATAAAATGAATGATGGAGTTATTTTGTGTACCGTACACCAGCCTACTAGGGAGCATCATTTTTAAAATAAAGCTATTCACCATGCATCACAGTAGATGGTGCTATTGTATCATTTTGGAAACCTTTAGCAGAAACCCTTTACCACACCCTCCTCCTCTCAATTAACTACGTCCACACGTGACTCTGCCACATGGCGTAACCATAGTCTGTAAATAAAGATGGACGTATCCTCCGTGACGCTATCCAAAGGTTTCTGAAGAGCGGGTTTGAAGCTCAGATGGGGCCGTTCCGTCGTCGCAGTATGGTCGGTATCTGGCTCCGCCGAACTGACGGCTAATCCAAAGATGGGCATAGAGGTGGGGCGCGTGTCGAGCCGAGACTTCGGTGCATTCCGAATCAAAACCAAATTAGGTCAGTGTAATGCAATCAGTTCATTGTTCCCTATAACATTGTAAAACATTTTACCTTTAGCAAAGAAAAAATGGACCACACTTTAAAAGGATCCTTCTTTAAAGGCTGGTGGTTTTTGGAAGTAGTTGTTCTAATACTGACAGAGAAACTAAGGCAGTAGTGGGACCAGGGATAATTTCTCTTGGTGTCAGTATACAAAGGTTTATGTATATGTCCTTGTTACAAAGTCCAACAAAAAGATAACGAAAGACTTTTTTTTCTTTAAAATCATATATGAAAGTATATAGTAATGCTAATTTTGTAGACATTTGTGTATACATTTACATACTAGAGATTAATATGCAGTAAATCAATGAATTTGAACTAACTTGAACTTCAACTAAAAGGACACAGTGTGGATCTGCGCTTTAAATGGTTATGTATGGTATTGTCTGTATAACATCAGACCATGTACTTTATTGGACTATATTTGATTCTTATATTTGATTTTCTAACTTATTTGTGTGTATCTGGTCTAAATTATGTCATGAATTGTAGGGGAAGCCCCCGAAGACTTGTAATATTCAACCACTGAATCAGGTGTTAAAAAAATGATGAGACAGACACAAAAAAGATGCAATGAACTCTCTACCTTTTATTGACTTTTGGCATGTTTAACATGCTTAAGTGAACGAGTAACAAGATGGTCATATTGTATGATTTCCTGTTAATGTATAACCCGTAATTTCCTCCTCACTCCTCTGCTTCCTTGGTCTGAAATGACAGAACAATGACATGTAAAGCATTTGGCCAGATAATCTAAATTTAATAAGATGAACATTTCTGCAAACTTGATCAATCTTAGGTAGTTATTTTTACCTTGACAATTTCACGACTCTTTGCTCTCAACTTGTTGACCTGGGACTCAGCGATGTCAGCACGCTCCTGAGCTTCCTCCATCTCATGCTGAACCCTCCTGTACCTGGACAGGTGACTGTTGGCCTGCTCCTCCTGTATAGTAGGCCACAGTAAAGTCAAGACCTGTCGACTGACTGACATTTTCATAATGTGTGTCATTATGAGGATTAAGTGTACTCACAGCCTCCTCAGCCTGTCTCTTGTAAGATTTCACTTTGAGCTGCAGCTTGTCCACCAGATCCTGAAGTCTACCAATATTCTTCCTGTCCTCCTCAGTCTGTTTTAAATCAGAAAATAATACAAAATTGTGATAGAAATATGCATCTACTGTTTTCATTACTGCACATTATTATGATTATTAGTATTTGTAGTAGTTAAACTCATTTGGATAGCGACTGACCTGATAGGTTAGTTCCTTTACTCTTCTCTCATATTTACGAACTCCCTTGATAGCATCAGCACCACGCCTCTGTTCAGCATCAACTTCAGCCTCCAATTCACGAACCTTGAATGAAGGAGAATTCAGTGATTTTGAAATGGAAATAGATTGTCCTGCTGCACAATAAATATAAATGGGTTGGTCCACATGGCACTTACCCTGCTCTCCAGTTTCTGGAGCTGCTTCTTGCCGCCCTTCATGGCCAGATTCTCAGCCTCATCCAGACGGTGCTGCAGGTCCTTCACTGTCACCTCCAGGTTCTTCTTCATCCTCTCCAAATGAGCACTGGTGTCCTGCTCTTTCTTCAACTCTTCTGCCATCATGGCAGCCTGAAATTTGGAAGAATTTGTTTCAACTGTCAGAGCACTCGAATTGGTAGATAAATGACCACCATATAGACATGTGTTTGTTTGGATGACTCACATCAGTGATGGCCTTCTTGGCCTTTTCTTCAGCATTTCTTGCTTCCTGAACAGAATCTTCCACTTCACCTTGGATCTGTATAAGGTCAGCCTCCAGCTTCTTCTTGGTGTTGATGAGGCTGGTATTCTGAACAAATAACAGTTTTGGTTATGTACTGAAATTTTCAGTTGTCAGGTGTTTCACATTGAATCTGTATTAACCTGAGAGTGCAGTAGTCCCACACGCTCGCTGGCATCAACCAGCTCCTGTTCAGCCACTTTGCGGCCTCTCTCCGTCTGCTCCAGTGCAACTCTCAGCTCCTCAATCTCAGCCACCATCAGGTTGTTCCTGCGCTCCACCATGGCAACCTGTTCTTTCATTTCTTCCTGACCTCTAATAGCTTCATCAAGGTGCAGTTGTGCATCCTAAATTGATAATAAAAACACGGTTGCAATGCAGTCTAAATAATGTAAACTCAAAGTGCAGTTTTCTTTCATATGCTACCGTACCTTGAGTTGTCCTTGCACGTTTCTCAGCTGTTTCTGGGCTTCAGCTGCCTGGCGGTTGGCATGACTCAGCTGAATCTCCATCTCATTGAGGTCTCCCTCCATCTTCTTCTTGATCCTCAGGGCATCATTTCTGCTCCTGACCTCAGCGTCCAGCGTGCTCTGCATGGACTCAATCACTCTCTGGCTGTTCCTCTTGATCTGCTCAATCTCCTCGTCCTTCTCTGCAAGTCTTCTGTCAATTTCACCTTTGACTTGAGTGAGCTCAAGCTGAATGCGGAGAATCTTGGATTCCTCATGCTCCAGGGTAGCCTTGACAAAAATAAATATATGTTGTTTAGTTCCAGTATTTCTAAAAATGATCTTTAAAAAGTGATATTTTGTCTGATGGTACCTCTGCCTCTTCAAGTGAAGTCTGGAGTTCGGACTTCTCTGTCTCTGCAGTCTTTTTCGCTTTCTCCAATTCATGAATGGTTTTTCCACTCTCGCCAATTTGTTCAGTTAAATCGGAGATCTCCTCTTTAAGAAACAAAGTGTATATGTGTATATTTATACAAAGCATATGAAACAACTTTCTGAAAGGGTGACTCTCTGAGTGTACAAGAAAAATCAGCTGTAAAATTCCAAACTCTGCAAATCAGACCACTGTTAGTTCTTTTTGTTTTTTTGCGTATATGAATATTCTGCATTTTTAAAACTTTTCATACGTTGCAGGTTTTTGTTCTCCCTCTTTATGGTCTCCAGGTGATCCAAAGATTCTTCATATGAATTTTTCAGCTTAAACATCTCAGTGCTGAGAGAACGAGCTTCTTTTTGAGATCCTTCCAGCTCTGCCTGGCTCTCTTCATACTTCTGCTTCCACTCTGCAAGGACCTGAAACCACAAAGACGACCCATATGTTTCAGTAATACTGTGTTTTACATTTTAATGCACAAGGCAGAAATAAAAATTTAACCTTGTCAAAGTTCCTTTGCTTCTTGTCGAGGTTAGCAGCTAGAGCATTAGCTCTCTCCACATCGATCATCAGGTCCTCCACTTCACCCTGCAGTCTCTGTTTCGTCTTTTCCAGAGAGGCACATTTTGCGTTCACAGCCTCGATGGACTCCTCAGCATCCTGAAGACGCTGGGCAAGCTTCTTCCTGTGAGAACGTACAGTAAACAGGTTTAATGATCATTTACAGAATCAATGCAGGTGGAAACAGTGTGACTTCAGGACTGTCCATTACTTAGCCTCCTCCAGCTCCTCAGTGCGCTGGATGGCATCAGTCT